AATAAAATTTTAATTAGCCCAAATTTTTAAAAAAATGTAATTTTTAATTTGCTCAAATTTTAATATGTAAATAAATAAATTTTAATTAGTTTGAATCGAATTTTAATCGGTTCAAATTTTAATACGTAAAAAAATTAGAAAACAGAGGGGGTCTCATTGAAAATATGTTTATCTAAAAGGAGTGTGGATGAAGTTTGTCATCAAATATATCATGGGTAATTTAGTAAAATTGCATTCTAGTTAATATTTTTAATATGACAGAGGGTATCACTGAAGATTTAGAAAATAGAGGGGGTGTCTTTGAAGATATGATAAACTAGAGGGAGTGTGGTTGAAATATTTCTAAATTACTAATGTTCACAAAAGTATCATTTCATTAATAGAACATCAATTAAAATAACAATTCATATACATGAGTGCTATACAAAAAGAGTCAACAAAAAAAAAGTTCACTACAAATTTATCTATAAGACATAATCACCTAACAAAAAATTTTGAATTAATCATATATAGTTGAATATTAACAACCAATTGAAACAAATATAAACTATGACTATTTTATTAAGCTAAACTTTAGTATAAGAATTAATTAACCAATCACAATAAAATTATTCAAAATACCAAATTAAAATAATTTAATCTAACACAAAATGGAGACATTTAGCCTTTTAAAGGAATTTTTTTGACATTTATAAGTGACCCATATATTTGTCAAAATATCACAAATACCAATAAATCTTTAAAAAAAAAATTCATTGGGGGCAAATCTTTAATAAATTTTAAAATTGTTAAAATTATACTTAATTCTCAAAAATTTTAAAATTCCAGTGAGGCAGCTGCCCCCACTATAGATCCGCCACTGCCCCCAATGAAGATTAGGCTAGATTCGGGCATATGGCTCCCTATCCCTTCTCAAATGTAATAACTAGGGCACTCCGTTTATATTTTTTTATCCTGGTTAAAATATTTTGTTTAGTTAAAATATTTACTATAATTAAAAGGTAAGTATCGTTAGAATATTTACAACAATTATAAGATTAACATATAAGTTATAAGATAAGATGTCATATTTAAATGATATGCATTATTATTAAATTTTGATAAGTTACAAGGACATTTCGTTTGGTTGACGTATTGTACAAGAATTGATTATATTAAATAATACAGGCTAATTCCGTATAAGTGGATAATATATAAGATTAAATATATAACAAAAATATTATGCATTGTAATCTAGTGTTTGGTAAGACACTGGACTAAAAGAGCTCATTTAGTTGCCGTATTAAAAATGGATGGATTAGATAAAGTAATATAGTCTAATACAATACAGATGGATTAAAGACAAGATTAAATATGGTATTAGAATAAATTTTAATTTTATTTAGAGTCTGACAATACACAATACAAGCGTTGGATAGTAGTTATTTAATCCAATTGGTTGTTTGGTTTTAGAATGATTTCATCATATTAATGTTGAATTAATAAAAATTCTCTCAATTAGTGTTTGTTACATTGGTAACAGCTTAAATTTATCACTTGTGATGTTATAATAGTAAATATGTAGAATAATACGTTTGAGTTAAATTATACTAACATCTTTTTTCATGGTATTAAAAAACTTCTATAATACAGGTCTATCATATAAAAAATATATGATAAGTATACGTTTTCTAAATTAATACGGTATCAAATTTGCTTACCAAACAAAGTATTAGACCCGATTAAATAAAAAATAGTACAATCTAATATTTAATTCACTTATAATATGTCTACTAAGCAAGCCCAAAATGAGATAATTTAGTAATAACTACATATTGACTAAAAAACCATCAATCCTATATAGTTATTAATGTTTTTGTTTATCTATTGAGTAAAATAATAATTTTATAATTTAATACACTTGAATTGGACTATAATATCATCTGCCCATGTGGTATTATAATCGACTTAATAGTACGGATATAATGTATTATTTGGATAAATAGAACTCGTTCGGTAGACATATTATGAGAGGATTAAATATTAGATTGCACTATTTTTTATTTAATCGGGTATAATACTTTGTTTGGTAAGTAAATTTGATACTGTATTAATTTTTAGAACATATATTAAACGTATATTTATTTTTTATACGATAGACATGTATTGTGGATGTCTTTTAATACCACCAAGAGAGATGGTGTTATAATCCAACTCAAACGTATTATTCTACACAATTACTATTATAACCCCCAAGTAATAAAATCAAGTTGTCATTAATGCAACAAATACTAATTGAGGGTATTTTTATTAATTCAACATTAATACGATGAAATAATTTTCTAACCAAACAATCGGTTGAATTAAATAACTACTATTCAATGCTTATATTGTGTATTGTCAAATACTAGATAAAATTACGTATTATTCTAATATCATATTTAATCTTGTCTTTTATCTATAAATATTGTATTAAACTGTATTAATTTATTCAATCCATTCAATTTTAATACGGCAACCAAACGAACTCACAGTGTATTATTTAGATAAGAATTTAAAATAAAACTATATATAATACAGAGCGTTTTTTGCAACCAAATGTTGTAGAAGTTGGATTAAAGAGTCTTAATCTGTTATCCACTCTTTAATATTGTAATTAAGCAACCCTATATTTTGTTATTTAGAACAATGCAAGAATAATACACAACTAATTAAAAAAATGGACAAATTGAGGGAAGAAATGAAATGGTGCTAATACGATATTGTGGACTGACTAAAATTTTCAAATAAAAATTTAAAATTGACTTTCTCGAAATTTAAAATTGAGCTTCAAAATTTAAATCCAAAAATCAACAAATTTGGTCATCGATTAAAATGAGTATATATATTGATTGAGATCCTTTTTAATATATTTTCTCTCTATTTATTTATTTATTTTTTGATGGATCACCTATCGTCATTTTTAGTGAAACTCATTATATATAATAAGTGAATCACACTCATTACTAATGAATGATTTGTCAAGAAGAGAAGTAAAGGAAAAAAAAATATTACACGAATTTGAATCCTATATATATTAGTATTCAATTCATTAACCACTTAGTTTTGACATCAAATAAATTTACCAACTATTGGTACATGGTTAAAACAAAATTTAGACACCTATATAATAAAAAGATCGTCTTCCTTACATAAAATACAATAATAGGCTAAATCATTTAGATCTGACGTCTTCTCTTACTACTTACATGTTTACCTTTTAACAATATAAATCTGCCTTTTTATATTTAATATTTTAAACACAATAAAAAAAAACTTTTTAAACATAATAAAAACGTTAACGATAGTAATTGACGAGCCCAGATTTAGACCAGACCTAGATTTAGTTTATGAGTTGAGCCCAAACCATCAAAAGACATATCAAACATAGCTCATTGCCTCAGTTCAAGAGTCCAAGAAGATCAATGCTCGTAAGGAGTAAACATCGAAATTGTCATTACTTCAAGATAGTGTTTATCCTCAATAGTAACTATTCTCCTCGATAAACTAGTAACCAATCTTTCACGATCACCGCCTCAACTAAGGTCATGTACTTATAAATTGTGAGCCCTCTACATATGAGAGAGGGCTATCTCTCACACAGAGATCACACGCACATTACCTTGAGTGTACTCTTACTCTCTCTCTCTCACTACACATTGAGCGTACTCTTACTCTCTTTCTCTCTGTCACCACACCTTAAGCTTGCTCATGTTCTCCCTCACTTACGACTTTATTCTCTCATTAATAAAATTTTTCAACTACCATCGCCGCCTTTAGTAGTTAGGTCACTCAAACTCAATCATCCAATTTTTGTCTCTTATTATTAATTATTTCATTTATTGCTCCACATCACACATTCGACTGATTTGATCATGTATAAATCCACTTATATGCAGTAATCATTTTAACCATTCTTGCCCTTTAACCACAATAAATATTTTAATCATTCACTTACATTTAACAATGATAAAACAAAACGTGACATTGATATATGGAATGTACTTTTTGTTTGATTAATGTAGCACAAATTTAGGATTAGAAATTTCTCTTATCAAATGATGAATTGTGACTACCCCATATCCTTATTGCATGATAACCTTAACAAGTATTAATATATACATCTCAAATGTTAGGGATTGTATTGCATCTATACAAAAAAAAAAAAAAAAAAATTTAAAGCATGACATGTTGAAAATAATAGGATGGCCATGAACTTGTCTTTACCCTTTCAAGTTTCAATCAAATTATCTTACAAAAGATTACATAGATCTTATTTATTGCATTCAATAACCCCTATGGTTGACAACTTTTAACACGATTTGTTAGTCTGGTATAAAATCAATATGGAATTATTGGGCATATATGTTTAGCTTTGCGGTTTAGAGTTATGACTAGGTTAGCTTACTACACTTGCTTAATCAAATGAGTCGACACAAATTTAATTATATAAAACTTATAACGACACAAATCAAATACGAAAAGAAAATTTGGACACACAAAAATTGATATGAGAGAATCTATTATCAGCCCTAATCTGATGCCACAAATTCTTCTTCTTTTTTTTTCTCTTCACAATAGGGGAGAGAGAAAATAATTATATTCGACTTGCAAAATCTTAATATGACCCAATGTTCAAAGCTAAATGCAGCTCAATAGGAGAGACAAATCTACTCACTATGAGAGTTGGTATATCACTTGAAAAGTTTTGGAACTTCTTTCATGGGCCATACTCCACCCCTCTCCTTGATTTTAGCAGTTGATATGTCAATTCTTCTACCTCCAAAATCTCATCTGTCTCTTAACCTTCAAACCACAGTATCTCAATTCTACCAGCTAGCACTCTCTCTCTCTCTAACAGCTAGCACTCTATCTCAACCTCCTCTGGACTTGTAAAGTAAAAGCAAAGAAAACTCAAACCTATCTATCATCATCAAATATTGTCTCATCTATTCCATTCACCCCATGCTCATTTTCAACACCATGGAAACCCCAACTCTTTCTCCCAAGCCAGCCATAGCTTATCACTCCAACGTGGACACTTCCACCCCTTTTAGTTCCGTCAAAGAAGCCGTGGCCATATTCGGCGAACGGTTTCTCGCCGGAGAAATCTACTCTCCAAAACCTTTCACCTTCCCCAAACATGAAACATCATGGAAGTTTTCGCCAAGTCCTCAAAAATCCAACGAAATATCATCCGAGTATACGCCAAATCCCAACAAGCTTGGTGATGAGAATGCTCTTGTAGACACTCTAAAGAAACTCGAAGCTGATCTTGAAGAAACAAAGATGGAATTGAAGTTACTCAAAGAAAGAGGATCTGAAACTGAGGTAGCATTGGCCTCATTAAACGCGGAGCTTCACAAGAATATGTCAAGGTTGGCAAAAGCAGAGGCAGTGGCAGCAGCAAAAGCAGTGGCATCAAGATCAACTGTGTCAGTACAAGAAAATGGAAAAGATGGCGTCGGACTCAGGGAAGAAGAGAGGAGGGACTCTGTAGTAAGGATGGAGAACTCTAGAACTTTGGCTGAAATACTGAGTCTTGATGAGAAAGAAGGCATGTTTGTAGGAAGGAAGGAGAGGAAGATAATAAAAAAGAAGCCTATTATTCCTCTTGTGGGAGACTTGTTTTGGAGGAAAAAAGGATCATCTACTACTCTGCATAATCCCCTCTATTCATCTGCTCATATCAATTTGAACTGATATAACAGGCATGGGTTCATCATGCAACAAATTATGTATCTTCCATACCTGTGCATTGTCATGTGTGAATTCTTTGATATCCATATGCTGAAAAAGAAAAAGACCAAAAAAAAGGATGAATTGTTGTGTGATGATGAAAAGGTCCATGTCTCTAGTTGGTTTAGTTTCTCTTAATGTGTGTTATGAAAGGTTGTGCATCTCGTTTGAGTGGTGAAATTTTCTGCTACACCTGAGTTCTGAAGATTTGTGATCGCCCAAATTGAACGCAAGATAGTGAGAGAAGAACTCAGAATTGATTTGCATAGAATTTTGGTCAAATTGGCTTTACTAACTTGTAGCAGTCGTATGAATCATATCTTTCAACCCACCACTTCTATTTGGTTTTCCTATCCATCCGTAATCTGGAAAGACTGTGTTGGTGTAACCGACTAAGAAGTTCTTGGTTGCAGTCGAGGGCCCAAAACAGGGTAGTATATGCCTTTGAAACCACACTATATAACAGAAAAGTCTTAAAAAAGAGTTCCATAATAAAACAATTTAGCAGCAGAATTTTCCATTCCTGACGATTTGAGCCGAGGTAAGACATAGAATTACAAAGTAGAATAAATAACAAAATTTGTGATTCAACATACAAACAAGTATCTGGTAAAAAAAAAACATACAACCTGTGCGGCTCATAAATAAGCCTAGGATAAAGGGAAAAATAATGACACAATTGCTGCTGCAAATTCACCACAGACCGTACCTTTAATCTGCCTTCCTTGGACTTGCATGGCAATGGTTTGAACTTTTATCGCACAGGCTTCACAATCTCCGCTCCATGGAGTTGCCCAATTCCCCTGGCCAAGTTAAATTTCTCCAAGTACAATAATTTTACACAGGTTGCTGTCTGTTCAATCTTCTTAATGACAGTAAAGCTTAATCACAGAATCAGCACCTGCAGTGAATAACCAGGGTTGCCTCGGATGGAATTTGCAGTCCATAACTCCTATAACACAATAACAATTGGCAAATTATAAGCTCAGGATTCACATAATATACTTAGCACCTTTATATTAGGATGCATCAAAATATTGACAACAGCATAACATATACTCATTCAAACAACAAAATATAAAGGAAAGGAAAGAAAAGATTGGAATACAGTTTGTCTGTAGTACTTGTCAACATTTAAAAACTTGGTCAAGTTATTGCAACGACTAAAAAATTTAACATAGTAGTCAACCAACTTCCATCTTGAGTCCTTGACAAGTTTTATTGGGATTTGAGACTAGGGAAGATCCAGATTAATTAATACTGGACAAGGAGCATCACTCATTACAACTGGACCCCAATACAGAAATAGCCCATCTCCAAAATTGACTAAAAGTAGAACTAGACCCAACAGTCTGAAAAGAATCTTGCTTCATAATGTAGTCCATGCTTACAGATCATATACATTTTGTGCGTATCGACCATCATGTCATATAACTCAATTTAACAAAGTCTTATCCCAAGGTTTTTTGGTTCAGCCACATGAATCCTATTTCGTCATTGTGCACTATTAATGGCCACATTTTTCTCTTAAACAATAAACTAGCACATATATTTGTTTAACTATTTCATTTAAAGTTAATTTTCATATTTCTCTATTCTTTTGTTTAATGTCAATAGCTATTACATGAAGCGCTCTCTCTGGTACAGTTGCATGCCTTTCATAAATATGTCCAAGACTCCAAAATATCTACGTCGATTCCCTCTCAGTTTATCTCCTATATGTACTACCTCTATATTTTTGGAGATATTCTCATTCTTAATTCAACCGTTCTTTGTTTTACTCCACATTCATCTTAATATTCTCACTACATCATAGTCAAATTTTTAACGTATAGTTTCTTAGCTGTCCAGTACCTAATACCATAAACCATAGTTGGTCTAATGAGTATTTATAAAACCTTTCATTCAACTTAAGAGGTGTGTGTCTATCATGCAATAAACCAGATACATTTCTCTATTTAATCCATCCTACTTTAATTTTACGAATAGTATCATCACCAATCTCGCATTCCTTCTGGATAATTGACCTCAATACCAAACATATTCCCTCTTCGGCATCTTTTGATCATCAATCTTTACTACTTACCAATTTGGACTCTTTTTAGTGAAGTTATATCTCATATTCGGTTGTAGTCTCACTTGTCTTAAATCTTTTTATTCTAACTCTCTAGACTGCTAGTTTATTCCAAATACTTTTTTTATTCTCATCGATTAATATTATATCATCGGCGACTAACATACATCACGGGAACTCATCCTAAATGTGTGCAATCAATTTATCCACAATCATGGGAAAAAGATATGGACTCAAAGCCCACCACATTCGTGCATATCCTAAATCATATCAATATATATAATAACAATTTTTGTTTTTCTATAGAATCCACCATAATACATCTTGAGCAACTCTATTATATGTCCTCTGTAAGTCTATAAAAATCTTATCAAGATTCTTATTATTCTCTCCATATCTTTTCATTAATCTCGGAAATAAATATATAACTTTTACTGTTGATGTCCCAGGCATAAATCCAAACTGATTCATAACACAGTTGTTTCAAATTTAATTGTTAATCGATCACACTCTTCCAAAGTTTAAGTGTATGAGTCATTATTCTAATACATTGATTATTTGTGTAACTTAGGATCCTTTCCATATTCTTATGTGCAAGTACAAATATATTTCCTTTGCTTATTGGGATTTTCTTGATCTTTATAATTTTATCACATAATTTAATTAATCATGATACCCCATATCCCGTAAACACTTCCAAACTTCGATAGGTATACCATGTGGTCCTAAAGTTTTTCCAGTTTCTATTTTCTTTAGTGCCTAAATTANATTGATTATTTGTGTAACTTAGGATCCTTTCCATATTCTTATGTGCAAGTACAAATATATTTCCTTTGCTTATTGGGATTTTCTTAATCTTTATAATTTTATCACATAATTTAATTAATCATGATACCCCATATCCCGTAAACACTTCCAAACTTCGATAAGTATACCATGTGGTCCTAAAGTTTTTCCAGTTTCTATTTTCTTTAGTGCCTAAATTACTTTAGACACCCTATTTTTAGGAAAATTTTGTTTTTTTCTATTTTCCCCATGATTACCATATTCTCAATATCTAAGCCCCTATAGGATTTCATTTAGTAACTTTTCAAAATAATTCTTCCACCTTTAATTTCCTCATTTTGTACCAAAACACTAGAATATTTACTCTTAATACACTTAATATGATTAGAATCTCTAGTTTTGTAGAAGAATATAGTGAAAATAATTTAATGACCAGCTCAAACAATCAGAGAACATGTACAGCCAAGTTAATGAAGGAGTGACAGATCTGTCTTAACAAAAAAAGAGGGGAAAAACTACACAAGGGCCTTGCTGGGAGTAAAAGCATAGCTATTTTTGTTTTTGGAAACATCAACTTAAAAAATGCCAAGTGTGAAGCATCAATTAAACACTGTTATCGGAACTAAAGGTATACTCACAACATAATAGCAATATGGGGTGTGGGGGAAAATGCTACGCAGCTGCTCCAATTTTGAAGGAGAAATTTCATTTAATCATTTGAGGCAGTTGTTTTTTTTTCATTTTTCGTTTGAAAATGATTATAGCTGATGATGACGAAGGGATCTAAGGGGCCACAGAAAGATAGTAAATACAGAGTATTCAAATCAATCAACAATGCCAATAGAGATCTCGTGAAGTAACAGCAGAGGAAATAGAAGCCATAAGGTAGAAAGTTCACGTAAAATTGGCGATGCTGGCAGCATTCATCTCACCAGGTCAAGGTCAATCCCAAATATAAAGTTAATATCCCATTCCAGACCAGCCATTTCCATTTCTACTGCACTTCCTAAAAGGTTAAAAAACAGACATGAAAACACTAACCTCTTCCATTTGAACTTGCATGCCCTCGGAGAATTTCCAACGGGACAATAAGAGGATTCTGGTTTAGATCCGAATAAACCATGCCATGGAAAACATAAGCTGTGCAATCATCGGAACATGATGCAAATAAAGGGTAGGAACGATGGAAGGCCACATTGGTTATATCCTTTGGGTGACATCTGAGAATTTCCAAAACAGTGACACCAGTCAAATCAAATCCAAAATACGTAAATATATGTATCATGGGGGAATGAGATACATGCACGGGTCAGCAAGTATGTGCTTAGCCAAAGAAAGATTTAAAAACTAACTATTTGGGGCTGGCGAAGTCTCAACAACTACCCATATGCCACTGGCTCCACCAAAGTTAGATTAATTCAGCTAAATCAAGAGCCATCCTTTGCAGAAACTAAATATTTAGTACATATACATGCACCACTGTTCAATATACATGAGAATAATATGTGTAATTTTACAACATGTCGCACTACCTGAAGTCCATCTAAACGAAGTAATTACTGCTGGTCCATCCTATTTACATTGTCATAACAGATTATTTCAATAACAGGGGCATCAGCCAATGAGATTTTCCAAATTCTACAAATACTTGGATAATGATGAAGAAAGTAGTCAAGAGAAACCACTGGAAAACTTATCTAATTTTAAGAAATAGTTGCAGCTACATACTTGAGAACTCTGTAAGGTTGAGAGGAGAGGTCCATGTCAAACCAACACAATTTTCCTTCTCTGCTCCCTACGATAACATGGTCTCCTGCACAATAGGGGAAGTCACATATATTTAGCAGATAACAGACATCACAAGACTCCTGCACATAAACCAACAAAGGAAACAGGTAGTTTCCATACACCATTTTTCTTGTTTTTTCCTCAAAAAAATATAAAGAGGACATTAAAAACATACCACCAGGATGAATGGCAATAGAGGAGACTTCACGGACCCCAGTCTCAAGCTTCTTAATAGGCTTTTGCTTCAACAGATCATAGACACGAACATTCTTCTTCGTTGAAATGAAGAACATGGAACGAGTTGGATGGAAAGCTGCGGAAACGGGCAGCCCATGCAGCTTGAATGGTATTCTTTGGGTAAGCTTCTTTGAAAGCTGATGAATTAATACTGCTCTTGATTCGCGTAAAAAATGAGTCAAGAAATGCCAACTTGACATAAATCATTACTTTAAATGAAACTCAAAAGTAACTCGGTCAGATCTTATGCTGAGACCATGGCATATGACAACTGAAAAATGCCAACCATTCTTTTCATTACTCCCGCAATATGCAAAGCTGATACTAAAAGACCACCATAGTTCAATATATAGCACGCTAATCACAGTCAGATATTGTATAGAAGCTGATTATACATTTCAGGAAGCTACTGTCCTTTTTCCATGATACCACAAAGGAGGCATTCCCTCTGTATTCTCAAACAGAGACATTCTTTTCACTACCCCTGCAACATGCAAAGATGATACCACAACACCACCATGGTGCAATATCTACCAAGTAAATGACAATTTGACGTGGTATAGAAGCTGATTATATATTTCAGGAAGCTACAGTCCTTTCTACAATGACACCCCAAAGGGGGTATTCCCTCTATGTGTTCCCTTTATTCACCATGATTCAAATTTTTTAGAAGCGTCTCAAATTTATGAGCCAGAAACAATTAATAAATGGAGCCAAAAAGGATATCAGATGGCATAACTGTAGAGAAGTAGTCTCCTTTACGATGCCATTCTATTGAAGACACAGTCTGAAAACACCCATAAATACAAACAGTTAGATTCAACTAAGAAAGCCCTTCAATTGATTGTGTTTTATGCTAAATAAATGAGTTCAAAAAAAAAAAAAAAAAAGATAGAAAATGACGAGGTACCTTAAAGTGTGTCAACCTGATTCCTTCATGCTTATCATCTTGAGCCCAGCTCACGATGGATGAATTATTACCTTAACAAGAATATATGCGAAAAGGTCAAACAACAGCCAGTTGACAGAAATACCGGAAGTAAGAGTGGACTCATACTGACCAGAACCATCTGGTGCCGTGGATGTTTCAACATGCAGAATCTCCTTAATCTTTTTCTGTTCTTCCTCGTCACCAAGTCCAGTGTTCAGAAGAAAGACATCTTGACCACTGCAAAATTGGAAATACTTAAATTAAAGGCCTACCAACACAATCTCCACATTACAGAGAGATACAATTAACTATGGTATCAGCCTTACGCAGAGACTGCCAAGATAGGAAGCTCAGGAGAAGGGTTCCACGCCACATGCTGAACAGTGTCACCTAGCTCCCAAACTCTAAAACATCTTCCAGTTTCGACCTCCCAAATACGCACAGTTCCATCACTTGAACCTTTGTAGATCACAGAAGATAGTGAGCCCCACATCCAACAGTTTTAAGGTAAAATGCAGTATAAGGCTATGGATAGAGTCCAAACCAGAAGCAATCCACTGCCCAGTAGATTCGGTGGATATTGACATGACTGGACCTTTATGACCTTTATACTCCAGATAACATGTGATTGGGTAAGGCTTAAGATCCTTACGACTCGGAAGCTTGGGTTTTAAAGATTCTGGATCAATATTAATCTGAAACATTAAAGGAGACCCATAGTTAACGATTATAATCAGTAGGCCATGAGTCTGGATGCAGAGATTTACAGATATTATGATAGAACCATCAAATTAAATTTCTTATGGACAAACATCATTTCCTCCACACTTACACGTTTCTTCCGAGCACGAGGGCATAAGTACAGATCCAAACAACGATCAAAAGACTCATTGACAGCTTTCTCATATGCAGGAACACTTCTCAAGGACGTGAACCTAAGCAAAAACAAAATTATTAAATTTCTAGTTGTCCACCAACTAACCAAGAGACGGATAAATGAACAAAACAATAAGATTGACATTGCAAAGTACCGTTTTGGAATAAATGTAGGTCGGTCTTCCTCAAACATAAGCTGATAAGAATTGATCTCTTCTTGTGTTGGGATGTACTCTAAAGAAGGATTGTAGGATTCCTCATGGCCTGAAAGCAAAATTTTGAATTACAAACTAATCTTCTTTTTTATGTGAAGGGGGGTAAAATTCAAATACTAGAGTATCTTCGAGAAGCCTGAAAATAATCATAATGGGTACTATTTTCAACCCACAAGAACAAGGGTCAATTGCAAACCTGGCAATTTAGGTTTTGGGGCGGGAATAAAGGCCAATCCATGCCTTTCTGTTGAGCTAGAATCATCCCACAGGTGATATAATCGTGCCTCCTCTTTTGGCTTATCAAATTTTATGAGCCCCTTTCGAATTGCCCGGACATATTCAACAACCTGTAGATTAAAGAAATAACCCTCAGGGCTCAGAAGATGAAAAGCACAAACACATTGCAGTTCAAAAGATGCATTCACTTCTGCAAAAACTCACACACTGTTAACATTCAATACCTAACTAAGGAAGCCTCACTGAAAATTTTAAGAAAAGAACTCTCACTATTGAAGTTACCAAAAAGGAAACTAAACAAGAAAACCAACACAAAAGCCACAGTCAGTGCAACAGTTCAGCATTCGTTTAAGAAGATTGTTGCAATAAGATACAACTCAGTTGATTTGAGTCCAACATCCACAACCATCAATTGGAAAAAAAGATTAAATTTCTTGTGTCCTTTTCATTTGAATAATGAGTAACAAAGGGTGTATTGCTTATTTATTTTATAACCGCGCTAGGAATGACTTCCACTAATTTAATATCGAGTGCCAGTTCAAAATGTCATTACACATCAGAAATTCACTTTCTGAGACAAATAGAAGTAATCAGGTTGGAACTACACAGATACAAACGCATTTCAGTAAAATTAAGAAAATGCTACACGAAAGAGATCTCTCCCGTCATCAATTGATAGAAAGAGAAAACTAAAACAACTTCAACTTACAATCTTCTGTTTATCAAGAAGTGAAATATGCCAATGATATTTACCTTTTTGCTCTCCCACTTTGAAGGAATAAACCGCCTCTTTGGTTCAGGCGCATTTGAAAGTGGGTGCTTAGCACCATCCCAGGCAAACCAATCAACATAAGGCTGCAGTTGAGACATAGGGACCATTTTTAATTAAAAAATGTGGTTAACTAGAAAGAAATGAGATTTTCAGGTTGATAACATTCAAAAAGATTACTGATCATAATATGTACAATAAAATACAGACCGCATATGGATCAAAGTCAGCATGTGGAGCCTTTCCTTTCAGCAATCTATTGATAAGTTTAGATTCGTCTTTTGTCAGCTCTACTTCCTCATCATTATAATCATCATAAATTCTGCGCCTAAATAAAGAAAGGACAACATCTGATAAGGTCCCATGTCTAAAATTTGAGAACACAATGTAAGAACTCTCTCACTATACATAAAAACAACATGAACAGATGCATATAACAAATATTAAAAGAAAAAAGAAAAAGACCTATCGTAAGCAGCTTAAGAGAATCCTATCCCATTTCCCAAATCCATTATTTTATGTTGTTCCAAAGTGCTAATCAGACCTCAAAAATTTAAAGATTGGCAAGATTTTTAAATGACAAGATACAAACTTCATTTTGCACCAACAAAACAGTTATTTCAAGAGAGAAGGAATCGATGAATTCATAAACTCACCAATTTCTTGAGTCATCAACACTGGCAAGAAAAGAATCCAGTTTATCTTGTCTCTCCTTTTTTTTAATCTTCTTCCCAGCAAGGTCATATCCAATATGTTCCTCATCCCTGTACCACTCCAAGGGAACATCCCCAATTGTATTTCGAGGAGCAACCTATTTTGGGATTAAAATATTAACAAAAACAACCACAATGAACTATGGAGACACTAAAATACCAAATTAAAAATTTGCACTCTTTTCTTTTTTTTTTTTTTGGGGGGAAACTTGAACATTTGACCTCAACAAGATAAGGAGTACCATTGGCAAAGCTCTCTTAGCACATGTAAGGAATAAGCAATCCCAGTTTGAATCAAAAAAGTTTAAAAATACCTAAACCACAAACATACTATGTGTGCGATATTTCTATTTTATAATAGCATATTTCTCGGGGGCCAACATGAAATTCCATAAGTTAGGAAATTTTGGGCAGTCTTGATTTGTACCCACCAATTCATGGAAATTCTTAAACACAGAAATTGGTGAATTCCGAAAAGATATAAAAAAAGACGGGAAACCTCGTCTTCAGATGAGTCACTCTCTTCAACTGCTTGGCGAGATTCATTGCTTTCACTTTGACCCTCCTCATCTTCTTGACTGAAATCATCATCATTGGGCAAACTATCATCACTTTCAATTTGATTCTCTAGATTTTCTTCACCGTGACCCTTATGATCACTAGATTCATCATCACCACTCGTGCTAACAATATCCTGCCACAAGTACCATCCAGATTATTTAAGAACCCCTGATAAACACTGAAAGGAGTGGTGTTTTTGTTTTGGGGGTGGGGGGGGAATCTAACACCCCGATAAAATTGCTGAAGATAACCACAAATACACAGTAAGGATATGAAAAAAGATGCTTCTTCTTTAGTAAAAAATATATTTAAGGGGCCAACAATATGTGGTTCCATCTGCAGCAAGGCATAACCTCCGGAGTTATAGAAGCTTGTGTTGTGCCATAATTTCAGATTCCCGACCAATTTTAGCACTAGTAAAGGAGGTTAATTATCCATATGTTGACCAACTTGTAAATCATGAAGACAGGCCCAATTCGTATTCCATATTAGATGGAGCCGCAGCAGGGCACAGCGGCAACATTGACTGATGCCATTATCGGACATAGCAGCCCATGGGCCGGGTGGGTCTGANCCAACTTGTAAATCATGAAGACAGGCCCAATTCGTATTCCATATTAGATGGAGCCGCAGCAGGGCACAGCTGCAACATTGACTGATGCCATTATCGGACATAGCAGCCCATGGGCCGGGTGGGTCTGAATTCAGTCAAATCAGACACCCCATGTACACAGATGCTGTATTGTTGTTTTTTTTTTTCCCTTTTGAAACTGTTCATAAATTAGGGGAATTACCATGTACCTCATCTTCCGAAAGTTCACTCTGCGACCCTGATTCAATCACTGTGCCCTCATCTTCGGACAAGCCCTGGAAGTGCAGAAACCAAATGAATGAACATAACACTGTTAGTAACAAAGACCAAATATATAAGAGCCAATTATTCCAACATATAAATAATGCCTACAAGCTTTTGAATGGAAAATCGAATCTTCACGAAGTACAAAGTACAAACACAATCCATCAATATCAATGAATCTTTGCAAAGGCAGACAAAAACCAAGGAAATTTTACTAATGCTAAACATTATGCTTCACTCAGTTTCAATCTTCCAAAGTTTCAATATTCCAATAAGAGAAATATATGAAATCTGCTATTAAGGTTTCTAAACGATCTGATTCTTTATTATATTCCGATTCTTTTATTACATTTTCTCAGAAAACAAACTACCTCATCATCAGAGTCCGAATCAGAGGGGAATTCTTCAGACGCTCTTTGTGCTTTTTCTTCTTCTTTTTCCTCCACTCTCTTCATAGTAATTTCTTCTTTCTTCTTCGGTTCCAAATCTTTTTCCTTCTTTTGCGCCTTCGCATCGTGTGAATCCTCCTTTGGTACCTTCATTCTCTCTCTCTCTTTCTCTCAGAGGGTTTTACAGAGGTTTAACACAGCCTCCACAACGTAACGGCGGTCGGCGTTGTGGGGTGGAGAGGTGGTGCGTTAACGTGCCCTTTTTAACAAACTTCTTCCTGATTTAGAAGAGAGAACCATTGTTTGGGCTTGATGATTTTGGACTTTGGGCCTTGGCCCGATTGGGTAAAGCCTTTGTAGATCCATGACACCGTTTGGGCTGATGATTTTAGACTTAGATCCAACCTTGGGCTCTGGCTCGCTTGGGTAATTGCCTTGGTGGATCCATGTTCGGCATTTTTTATTTGGAAAAATTATGAAAAAGTATACAATTTAAGACATATTTGTAAAAAAGTACCTAAATATAAAACATACCTATATGAGTGGAAATCCTTGCTCACAACCCACTAAGCCGCCAAATCCGCTCATATATCAATGGGTTGGGTACATGTTTTTTTTAATTTGGGTTAAAAATGGGTTTAATATTATTATTTAATTTAAATTTATGGGTTAAATCGAGTTTAAAATAAGTAAGCCGTTGGGCTTCCTTCTTAAAAACTAATGAATCATAAATACACATACCAGCCACACCTCTCCATACTCCAGCCATTAGACTCCGTGGAGTCTCTTGACGTTAAAGCCAAAAAAATGTTCTTCTCTCTTCTCAATCCAATTCAATGCAACGGAGAATTTTTGCAGCGAAATGCGGGGATCTGCGTTTCTCGATGACCAGAACAACTAATTCGTCGATTTCACCATTCGTCTTCGGCTCGATCATCGATTAAATTTTTTCGTACATTTTCGTTTCCTTTTTTCTGTTATTTTTCTTGCATTCTTTTCGTTCCTTCTTGTCTCGATCTCCAGTTCCCTCTTGAGTTCATGTAATTATACAGTAGTCTAACGTTTTGTCCTCCTACATTGCTTCAAATTCGTTGTTTTGGATTGTTTTGATCATTTGTTTTTTGACCTGTTGTGACATGCCTACAACATGTTGATGAAATGCCCAAAAGCTAGAGATATTGGGAATGGACCGACTTAGTAGCAATAACTGATTGTTTTCTATTTATATATGTGAAACTAGCTAGCTATAGGCAGAAGTAACCTTAACATCGATCATTTTATCTTGTAGAGGATGGGAGAGCATAGTTAACACAAAAGATTAAAAAATAAATAAATAACAAGACAGTTAATCTACATCCCAAACGTGCAGTATAGGAAAATATGCAGGATCAACCTGTTGTGGAAAGTAGTGGGTGACTCTAAAGTGATTGTTGGATTGGAGTTTGAGGTTGGGGATTGGTTCCTTTGGCTCTCGATTGATTTATGTTCTTGTTATTAATTTACTTGGTTTGATTCATATGGATTGTTGTGTGCGTTTATGAATTTATTTGATCAAGATAGTTTGTTTTTTAGCAATGAGGTTTTTGTTTGTCTGGTCCAGTTGAATGCATCTTTAGGCTTCATATTGCATGCTGTTTAGTTTTTATGTTGTTTTTGGTTGAATTAGTTGATTTGGTTTAATTTTCTTTAAAGTATAGAGTCTTGTAAACCCAGGAAAAAAGAGAGGTGAAAACAAGATAGTCTCACTTTTTTTTGTCCCCTTTCTTAATTTCTAGTGCTAATAGGCTTATATTTGGCACATCAGATTGCTCATAATAAAGAACTAAAGGATATTTGATAGGTTATTGTAAATATGAAGGATTGCAAATTCATGACTTAGGTTGCCTGAATTGTGGTCATCATGTTTTTGCTTTATTTTTTTTGAAAAATGGTTTTGCATTTTGTCTTTTGTGGCTTTCCTAAATGTGCTGCTAAGNATCTTCCGAAAGTTCACTCTGCGACCCTGATTCAATCACTGTGCCCTCATCTTCGGACAAGCCCTGGAAGTGCAGAAACCAAATGAATGAACATAACACTGTTAGTAACAAAGACCAAATATATAAGAGCCAATTATTCCAACATATAAATAATGCCTACAAGCTTTTGAATGGAAAATCGAATCTTCACGAAGTACAAAGTACAAACACAATCCATCAATATCAATGAATCTTTGCAAAGGCAGACAAAAACCAAGGAAATTTTACTAATGCTAAACATTATGCTTCACTCAGTTTCAATCTTCCAAAGTTTCAATATTCCAATAAGAGAAATATATGAAATCTGCTATTAAGGTTTCTAAACGATCTGATTCTTTATTATATTCCGATTCTTTTATTACATTTTCTCAGAAAACAAACTACCTCATCATCAGAGTCCGAATCAGAGGGGAATTCTTCAGACGCTCTTTGTGCTTTTTCTTCTTCTTTTTCCTCCACTCTCTTCATAGTAATTTCTTCTTTCTTCTTCGGTTCCAAATCTTTTTCCTTCTTTTGCGCCTTCGCATCGTGTGAATCCTCCTTTGGTACCTTCATTCTCTCTCTCTCTTTCTCTCAGAGGGTTTTACAGAGGTTTAACACAGCCTCCACAACGTAACGGCGGTCGGCGTTGTGGGGTGGAGAGGTGGTGCGTTAACGTGCCCTTTTTAACAAACTTCTTCCTGATTTAGAAGAGAGAACCATTGTTTGGGCTTGATGATTTTGGACTTTGGGCCTTGGCCCGATTGGGTAAAGCCTTTGTAGATCCATGACACCGTTTGGGCTGATGATTTTAGACTTAGATCCAACCTTGGGCTCTGGCTCGCTTGGGTAATTGCCTTGGTGGATCCATGTTCGGCATTTTTTATTTGGAAAAATCATGAAAAAGTATACAATTTAAGACATATTTGTAAAAAAGTACCTAAATATAAAACATACCTATATGAGTGGAAATCCTTGCTCACAACCCACTAAGCCGCCAAATCCGCTCATATATCAATGGGTTGGGTACATGTTTTTTTTAATTTGGGTTAAAAATGGGTTTAATATTATTATTTAATTTAAATTTATGGGTTAAATCGAGTTTAAAATAAGTAAGCCGTTGGGCTTCCTTCTTAAAAACTAATGAATCATAAATACACATACCAGCCACACCTCTCCATACTCCAGCCATTAGACTCCGTGGAGTCTCTTGACGTTAAAGCCAAAAAAATGTTCTTCTCTCTTCTCAATCCAATTCAATGCAACGGAGAATTTTTGCAGCGAAATGCGGGGATCTGCGTTTCTCGATGACCAGAACAACTAATTCGTCGATTTCACCATTCGTCTTCGGCTCGATCATCGATTAAATTTTTTCGTACATTTTCGTTTCCTTTTTTCTGTTATTTTTCTTGCATTCTTTTCGTTCCTTCTTGTCTCGATCTCCAGTTCCCTCTTGAGTTCATGTAATTATACAGTAGTCTAACGTTTTGTCCTCCTACATTGCTTCAAATTCGTTGTTTTGGATTGTTTTGATCATTTGTTTTTTGACCTGTTGTGACATGCCTACAACATGTTGATGAAATGCCCAAAAGCTAGAGATATTGGGAATGGACCGACTTAGTAGCAATAACTGATTGTTTTCTATTTATATATGTGAAACTAGCTAGCTATAGGCAGAAGTAACCTTAACATCGATCATTTTATCTTGTAGAGGATGGGAGAGCATAGTTAACACAAAAGATTAAAAAATAAATAAATAACAAGACAGTTAATCTACATCCCAAACGTGCAGTATAGGAAAATATGCAGGATCAACCTGTTGTGGAAAGTAGTGGGTGACTCTAAAGTGATTGTTGGATTGGAGTTTGAGGTTGGGGATTGGTTCCTTTGGCTCTCGATTGATTTATGTTCTTGTTATTAATTTACTTGGTTTGATTCATATGGATTGTTGTGTGCGTTTATGAATTTATTTGATCAAGATAGTTTGTTTTTTAGCAATGAGGTTTTTGTTTGTCTGGTCCAGTTGAATGCATCTTTAGGCTTCATATTGCATGCTGTTTAGTTTTTATGTTGTTTTTGGTTGAATTAGTTGATTTGGTTTAATTTTCTTTAAAGTATAGAGTCTTGTAAACCCAGGAAAAAAGAGAGGTGAAAACAAGATAGTCTCACTTTTTTTTGTCCCCTTTCTTAATTTCTAGTGCTAATAGGCTTATATTTGGCACATCAGATTGCTCATAATAAAGAACTAAAGGATATTTGATAGGTTATTGTAAATATGAAGGATTGCAAATTCATGACTTAGGTTGCCTGAATTGTGGTCATCATGTTTTTGCTTTATTTTTTTTGAAAAATGGTTTTGCATTTTGTCTTTTGTGGCTTTCCTAAATGTGCTGCTAAGATTCCATTTGAGTTGATAACATTTTAAGCAGCTGATCTTGTTGAAATGTCAATTTTCCTATCCAATTTGTTCACCTAGAGCAGCCTAGCTAACTGGAAGTAATCTTGTACAAATCACTAGTCAGAAATACCATTTTTTCATTTTTTCCATTTCTTTCTCTCTCCCCAAAAGAATCAATGTATAGCTCATATCCATCCATTGTTTGTTTGTTTGTTCATTAAAGTAGTGCTCACCTTTTCGATTAAAGATTCTTCTAAGTAAATCCAAACTTCTTCATTTTCTAAATTTTTGATATCCTTTTGAATGTTTTATTATATATTATTTAATGCTCATTTTTGTGGGTGTAGATTCATATTGAGGCCGCCATATCTTCAAGAGATAATATAATGGAAGATAATGTTGATTATGGTGAAGAAAGTTCCATTACTGGAAAACGAGGTAGAAAGTCTCACTTTATAGTTTGGGATATTTTTGAGAAATTACCTATTAATAGTGAGGGGAGACAAAAGGCTAGGTGTACAAAGTGTTAGCAACTGTATATGGTAGACTTAAAGTCCGGAACATCGAATTTGAAGCGACACCTCAAAACTTGTTGTCCTGAACATGACACAAATGAGTTGGCACCACAATTACCTTTTGATCAAGATGTCTATTGTAAGAAGCTTTCTGATGTCATAATCAAGCATAATTACCCCTCTAAGTTTGTGGAACATGAAGGAATCAGAGAGTTGCATAATTTCTTGAATCTAGATGTGAAATCAATCTCAAGAAACACCGCAAAGTTGGACATTTTGAAAGCTTATAAAAGGGAGAAAGAACAACTTAAACATGCATTGGAATTA